ATGAGACAAAGGATCCGAACTTCCGACCTACGTCAACGATCGAAAATCAGAGACGCCGTTCTACACGCCAGGATATCGAAAATAAGGTGGGCCGGACACGTGATGCGCTTCAACGACAACCGATGGACGAGAGCCGTTACCGACTGGATTCCTCGGGACGTCAAGCGCTCTAAAGGAAGACCACTGACCCGTTGGTCCGATTTCTTCACGAAAGCGATGGAAGAAAGATATGATGCTCAGCGAATTCCTAGAGCAAGGAGGACCCACTGGGCTACTCTTGCACGCGATAGGGAAAAATGGAAGAGTTGCTGGTACCCGCTCGAGTCACTCGACGATCAACGGGACGACAGGTGATACAGGTGATGCATAAGCTGTACAGTAAGAAATAATTACGAAGAACACTGAAGCGCCGCATGTCAGGTGACAAAAGCCGCCTTGATAAGATTCCTAAGGCAGTATACGAAATAATGAAAATATTCATAGCCATAAAGGAATAAAAGTATCTGTGCTATACTTCTATAGAGGCACAACTTTTTAAGTGCACTGATGGAATATCTGGGGAGAGTCCATAAACCACCAAATGTGAAAGGAGAAATGCGTGTCTAATATTTGTCTCTAGACCATGCACGTGGTCTGTTATAAGCAGGGAATGTCTCGCCGCGAAACTGACTGAACCGTGAGACACCGTGCACCTGACGAGACTGTATGGGCGAAACAAGTGTCTTGCACTGTATAGATACCCATACAGCCCACATGCATGACTCAGAAATGATTACCAAGCAAATTAAAATTCGAGAGTGATTCCAAGAAACACTTGAAACGAATGGTACGAGATTTTACGATTACTAGCCAAGAGGAACCGAGTGTACAACACTGTCCGTTCGATGAATTCATCACTTATCGGCGCGTGAAAACATTAGCCTTCACCGTGTGAGAAACTCTGAGCGACTGTGAATATCGCAACTCTTCCATGAATTAGTTGCTACTTTTTAATTCCTTCATCTTCCGAGTGACAGATCAACAATAATGACCACTTAGGTGATAGCTGCACAAGGCGACAAATGAGCAAATTTCTCCCCCACGGAAGCAGTCAGAAGACAAGTCTGGGAAATAGCGAAGTTTCAGCGCTGCCACATGATTGACAGCTAGAACCACATTCCTTATTTGGTGGTCACCTTGATCGCTTGGGTTGTTATCCTTCTTTGTCATGTCGCTTCATATTACAACACTTGCCAGTTCTTTTGTATTAAGCAATGTTTATTCTCATATCGTAATCGCATTTTAATAGTTCATTTCGTCTCATGTGAATGTAATATGGGTCACTCACTTCCGCGGCTGAGCTTCCAATGATGGATTATGTTCTCTTCGCTACCTGCGGCGATTTGATCAGTCCTATTACCATCCATTTTGCTAAACACGTACGGCGTGTATAAGGATCGCTCTCCGGCGCATTTTCAAAGTCTTATATCCGAGCCATGTGGCCCAATCGAATTATATGAAACACCTACTGGCTACAACGTCAGGTGCAAACTTTCGCGGAGAGCACATAAGAGCATCTAAGGCCCCATCGATTTAGCCGTGCCCGTGGACATATTGGTCACATTGAACATAATACATGACTCTATTGTTCGAGCGATTACCACTATGAATATTATCGATTCGTTCTATGATTCATCGTGGTTCCACATATCGTTATACGCTGCTCATTGCCATGCACAAACCTCATTACTACAATGAACATATCAAATAATGACTCTACTGCCCAAGCGACTGCTACAGTGAATCTGGAGTCGTCTAAGACTAATCGCCCACCATCTCTTATATAATGACCAATGCCATTCATTCATTTTATTACATATATATCTGAGAGATTTGAGTGGTGAACAAAAACACGGTCTCAAGCGGGAATCGAACCCGCGAACGCGTAATGAACTCGCGTTTTGTTATGAATCCATACTGGCGACGCGTGCTACTACCACTACATCACCGAGGCACATTTGCGCCACTACTCATTCTTTAACAACTCTATGTTAGCTATCAGCCATTAACCTTCAAGAGGTTTGGTCGGGTATGCGAGTTCGCTATATAAACCCAGTTGAGCTGACAGCCATTGTGTTAACTAATACCGTGTAATATAGCAAATTCAACGTTCACGTCATACTGTTGAATTTCAATCGTTGAAAAAAAAAGGTTCAGGTCAAACTGTCTAAAAACTCCTGCAATACAAAATGTACCGAAAGCCAAGCAACAAAAACATCTTAGTTCATTACCTATCAGCTCGGCCTCCACATATAAAACACGCGTTTCTGAAGAACATATTCCGGAAAAAAATGGGGTGAGATTAAGGGTGAAAATAAGGTGAGATTTTTCAGAATGACTATACTGTTGATTTCTTTTCTATCAAATTTGTGATCTTTGTAAATTATTAACCAAATAATCAGATATTATATGATTTATACGTCTAGGCTGTGACGAAGGCGTTGCCGCCAAAACGTTAGCCATGGAGCTTTGAGGAAAAGAAGGAAATTACTCACCTCTTGCAAATAAGGTAAGGTTTTCCAGTTCTCTTGCAAGTTTGGAATAAAAACCTCCTGCAAGTTTAAATCAAAGGAAAGGGTAGCTAATGTGTCTGTGAGGATGAGCAGCGCTGAGTCGATACGGCGTCAAGCCTCCGCGAGTCATTGCAAAGGCCACATATGCATAAAATCCCTCAAACGGGGTAAAACATTGTATAAGAATGCATGTTACATCTCTTAGGAAGTGGTTATTACCGAGATCTTCATCCCTTATCCTTACATCAGACCTTCGAGTTGGGCAATAAAAAACTGCTTCCGTCTATTATAGACAGCATAATTTTACAGAGCTCTTAATTATCAATACATGTAAAATTCAAACATTTATCATATTCAGCTGAGGCGAGGTTGATGAATGTTCAACACCGGTGACTCCGGCTTCTTCAGCGCATGGGCACACACTGTATCAAACTGTTCGTATGAATCGGTAAAAACTCCACTTCTTGAACCTGCAGCGTAAGTCATTCTGGAAGATTACATGTAAATAAAGCGAGAGTTCTCGCGTTCTAGTGACACATGTGTCGTTTTGATTTATTGATCTCAGCATTATTCAAAACACTTCAGAAATCTGCGCGTTGCTGTCTTCCTTTTGGCAGTGGGGTAATAAACACAAAATTTATTAAGCAGAAGTAATTAACCAGAAATCAAAATTCCTCAACAACACTGTTCGAAGTATGCTCCATCCTGAACACATTTCTGCCATCTATCGGGCAACAAATCAATACGGCGCTTATAGAACTTGTCATACTTGGCTTCAAAGAATGTTGTTAACATCGACGCAAATGACTAGTGGCTCGGAACTTCTTCTTACTCAGGAAGTGATGCAGCGGCCAGAGAACAGGTGATAGTCAGAAGGCGACAAGTCAAGACTGTACGGCGGATGATGCAGCAACTCCCTGCGCAGCTCCGTCAACTTCCTTCTCATTTTGGCAACATGCAGTGTTGTTTTGAAGCGTAATGAGATTGCGGCGTCGTCGACGTGACAGGGCCCGATTGCAGCAATCCATGCGTTCGCAGTAACGCTTAGTGTTGATTATCTCTCCGGTTGGCAACCAGTCCCAGTGATTCGGTGTGGTTCCAATTCGCACTCGAAAAGAAGCAAGTTGCGACGGCGGTCCTGATGCTGCAAGTATGAGCAAATTTGGTACCAAAACAAAGCTTAAAAAATTCTGCACAAAGCGACATTGATTTGATGCCTCAAGATGGTAGAAATGTTTTCAGGATGATGGCCCATACTTTGAATAATGTTTTACGCAATTTTGGTAACCTCTGGTTAAGCCTTGATGTTTATTGCTCTGGTGCCAAAACTTATGAGAACACCTAATAACCTTGCCATCTCTAATGACAAATATCAGCCATGCGGGTTATCTCTTGTGGAGTTAAGCCCCAAAACAATATTTCGAATCCCCAGTGAGATTGCTTTCAACATGCCCTTCATGTCTAATGGGTTCAGTTGCGCTTTTTAGAGGTGTCGTAAAAGAAGTGTTTTTGAGAGTTTGACTCCAGACGGCTATCAAATGATGATAATGAATTATGGAGATTTTGAAGCCTAAGAGATGGAAGAAAAAAGTGTATGAAAATGTAGTGCTTTTTCAACGTTATTTATTCAAATTAAACTCTCAAGTAATGACTATTTCTTTGAAGTAAAGTATGTGTATTAGATTCCTGAAATACCATCTGGATTTGAGCATTTTTTATTAATGAACGTACAGAAATTTTTACATTTTTGTGTACAAAAGTTTCAGTCTCCTTGAAATAATAGCATATATGATCCGTCGCATTACAGTTTACTAATTCACACGGATATATAATATTAAGACCATAATAGTGGAAAAAATCGAGCAAATTTAAAGTTTAATTCAACAGTGCGCAATTAAGTCAACGTCTTAGCCGACGGTAGCAAATGACGATGTGAAGTGCGAGGCAAACGGACCTGATGACAGCATTCGAACCGCTCTATTCACCATACGCTGCCACATTTCTTTCGACCAATTCGCCATTATGAAGTTTGTAGTCTGCGAAAATCCTTTGTAAAACTCTTTTGAGAAAAAATGAATGGTTCATAGCGAGAGACTTCCCGAGATTGACAGTACA